CGTTCACTTTTACTTGTCACATTTTGACTTGACACACCATTAATTTTTATTTTTATGATAACCAAGAAATCCGCATGTGACCCGCCTTTTGGACCAATCATAGCCTTATAAACTCAGTGGATAATGGGCCCGCCCCTCTACCTTCTCCACTTAAATACCAGACTTTGCTATATTAAAAAATAATTATTGGTATAAGTATTTTACCAAACTATCCCTATTAAATGATGTTTAATATTAAGTCGTGAAAAATGATTTGAAGAAAGAATATTTAATGAAATATAATTGTCTTTTCTTGATATACCCCTTAACTTTGTCATTTAGAGCTGATATACCCCTCGTTATAAAAGTGACACATATATACCCCTAATGTTATACAAATGGCTCACATATACCCTTTTCCTCTAACGGAAGTGAAAAAATTAATTTTAGTTTAATTTTATTAATTATTTTTTAAAAAATATAATCCCATATGGGTATATTTAATCCTCCTCAAACATATATTATTATTTTTTAATTTTTTTTTTGTTTCAATGACTAATTTAGATTTATTATTTTGATAGTCAAATTTATTTAAGTTTTGCTAATATTCTTGTAAAATTTCTTATAGATGACCCAATTTTTTTCTTCAAATACAAAAATTAAATTACAATATATCCGAAAAAATAGTTTTAAATTATAATATAGCCAAAAAAAAAATAGTTTTAAATTTTTTTCTTTACACTAAGGAATGAAAGAAAAAATAAAATAGGAAAAAGAAACTCAAATAATGATAATCAAAAAGTCAAAAAATAATTTATGTCCAAAAAAAAATGAAAATATACCTTGAAATTTTCTAGAAAAATCATATATACCCCTAAATTTTTTTTTAAAGAAATCAAAAGTAAAAAATATAAATTTAAAACTAATTTTTTCAAATTTCCATTAAATGAAGGGTATATGTAAGCTCATTTTGTAACGGTAGGGTATATGTGGGCTGTTTATATAACGGTAAGGGTATATATGAGCCACTTTCGTAACGAGGGACATATCAACTCCAAATGACAAAATTGAGGGGTATATCAAACCCCTTTCCCTTAATAATATACTAAGTTTAAAAATTATATGTTCAAACAAATTTTAACTTCAAATCAATCTGATTTTATATCGTATGTCCAAATGATCCGTAGTTGATGTGTTATACATATACTAGATGAGCACATTAAGGATAACAATTATTCAATTTTTTAGAATTAATTTTTCATTGTGTTTGAAAATGACAATTTCAAACCCGGTATGAAATTGTAAGTTATTTTTTTTTCAACTCTATTTTTCATTTTTTGAAATTGTAATTAAGTATATGTAAATATAGACGCTACTTCAAATACTCTTTATAAAAAAAATGTTATCAAACATAACTGCATTTTCGACTAGAACGTATAAATTTTAAATATTCTAAACACCTACTAAGCATCTCTAGTAAACATGAAGCATGATTCATCAAGTGGGGATTGGAATGGAATATATATATTTGCAGGGAAGAAATATTACCCCCCTGCCCCGGCCTTTTTGTCTTTAAAGTGAACTACGATATCGTGTTCAATTGAATTTAATAACTTTTGAAAAATTGAATTTAAAGGATATAAATTTTAAATTTTGACTTCGCCTCTGCTTTTAAGGATACTAGATGTACTAGACAATTTCCAACATGACAACTTGAGTCTCTAGAAGTTGTTATGATAGATTTTAAATACTCATTTTGTCTTGACTTACTTTCATTTTTAGTAAGTCTAAAAAAGAATGACACATTTATATATTAAGTAACAATTTAACTATAAAATATATATTTTACCGTTAATGAAATGATTACAGCCACACAAATTTTTATCATTAATTTTTGACCACAAGTTTTAAAAACCTTCATTTCTTTCTTAAACTCCGTACCTAGTCAAACTACCTCACATAAAAAGGGGACGAAGGGAGTACTATATGTGCAAGTGGGCTAATAGAGTTGTATGTTAGCTGCTAGGTAGTGTTAATGTTGGTAGTTCAAACACAGAAAGGATGCCCCTATAATGAAGAGTAGTAAGTTTCTGGTGAAAAGGAACATTCAATAAAGGGGAAATTAATAATCATTGTATAGTTCATTAACAAGTGTCTTGTCAAAGCTAAGTGGAGTCAGAGTTTAATATTTTTGGATTATGAATTTGAAAATATATTTTCTAATCAGTTTGTAAAATTGAGAGATGATAATTTTTTTAATTGTTAAGTAGTATAATTAGTTTTAATTTATTTCTCAACATATAATAATTAGGGGTGATATGATAAAGTTTATAATTTTATTTATTATTTTTAAGACATGTGTCAAGTTAAATATGAACAAATAAATATACATGAATGAAGACTGAAGAGCGTATTCTTATTATGATATTATAGCTAGACATATTTAATTCTTATTTCACCCTTATTATCTTGTTTACACTTTAGTTGACACACTTAGACGTGCGAGAGTGTTACATTGTCCCATATATTGATGTGTGGAACGATGACAATTTATTTATTTTATATGATCTTATGCAAGACTCTTCACTTTTTGAGTTTTTCATTTAATTAGTAGGAGGTTGTTATACGCCTTGTGGTACTTATACCACTCATCTATCGGAAGTTTGACTCTCATCACTCTGGCATATTATCCAAAGGCGAGTTGAGCCCTAACGAGCGCAAAATACACACTATAAATTATGCGCGATGGAAGTCCTAGCCTAAATTGAGCTCTCAAGTTAAGCTCGTCTTTATCTAAACACAAATTTGATAAACAATATCAATATTCACATATAAAAAATTTAACTTCGCATAAAATTCACATTAAATAAACTCAAAATAACTCATATTATATAACCATCAAGCCCCTTGCACAACTTTTTAGAATATGATTCCATGTAAGACAAGATCAAAGTCAATGAAGTGTATGTGTTTTAATGGTTTAAATTATGTAATGGTGCATTTTTCTTATCATTTTCTATTGCGTTGAAAATATGGTGTTTTATCTTTGGGTTATATTTTATAAAAGAAGGATGAAAATATTGTTTTATTTAATAATATGATAAAAAGTGGAAGAGAAATCACATAAAAACAAGAATATGAAATGATTCTCCAAAAATGAGAAGTTAATAGCACCTACTAGAAAAGGGCACCAATACACCAAAAGCCCTTTAAGAGCCAATGGATGATATATACCATCCACCTACTTGCCTATTTTGAATATTTTATTCGTTTCAAAATAAGTATTATCTTAATTTAATTGATGTGTAATAAAAAATACATATTACTCGTGTTTACCAAAAGTAGATTGATTGTTTTATTGTGCACTTTTCTTTAATGTATCTATGGTTATTTTATGTGTTTTTTCTTATTAAGAGAGCACTTATTTTAGGACGAATTAAATATTATTTTTTTCATTTTATATTACTTGTTCATTTTTTATTTACACATTTCATAAGAAATCATTAATAAAAATGATAATTTTATTAATTCACCCTTTTAACTCTTCCTAATACTCTCTATTTACGTGTCTTATTATCAATACCAAAATTAATAATGGAAGAACTTTCATGAAATTCTATACTAACATTTATACTTTTAAAAAAGAGAATTAATTTTAAGAATTAAATAATTTTTTAAAATTAATTTTATCTTAATTTTATAAATTAACATATAATTTGTGACAAATATTTTTTTAATAAATATGGATACGTCATAGACGGAGCCAACCTTGGACGAAGGATGGTTCAATACATATTTTTTAAATATTACTTATAACGTATATTTAATTTTGCTTAATTTTTTTACTTTGCGACTAAGACGTAATATGAGAGAGAGGGAGTAATATACACAGTTAGCGATGACTAGTAAATAAGTGAATTAAGTAATATGCAAATAGGCTAATCACTTTACCAATAAGAATTTGGTGGAGTGGTAATACTCCTTTATTCTTAATAAAAAATTTCGAATTCGAGTCTTTTTTAGTATAAAGTCATCTTTATTAGTAATCACTTTACCCCAATATGAAACTTTTTGATATGAATCTGAATTTAGTTGAACTTAAATATAGGTACCGAATAGAAAAAATAAAATAAAATAAAATAGGCTAACCACTTTACCTATGCAAATAAATGTATAATAGTTTGCTTCATTTCCGTTGGAAAAAGGGAAAAACAGAGTCACATGGGTCATTGAGGACCTTTTCCTATGCAATAATTAAAAACTTTTTTCATCTCTCATTTTTATCCAATTATATATATACACCCTCATTTGTGCTTCCACAAAAATTCTCTTTATAGCAACTTTACTACGTAAAGTAAATTAACAATCCAAATAAACTAGTAGTAGTAAAAATATGTATTCTATTAGGATATACTAGTATATAGTGTACATGTACTTTGCGTTTCAATAAAGCTAACAATTCTACCTTATGGACAATGCAATTAACAAATTTTCAAATGAACTCAGCAAACGATACAAATCACACGTAATAATATACATGTTAAATTCACTGTTAAGTAATAAAAGCGATGACTTAAAAACTTAAAAAGAGTCGTGAAGGAATCTCTTTTTTCCTTTGAAAAGAAACAAAACTAAAACTAAATTGGAGTTTGGTTTATATATAAACTCTTCAATTTTCGTCGTGAATGATAATTCCAAATAAACATACCCATAAGTCACTCCCACTACTAAGCATGCACCAAAAATATTCACACTACAATAATTAAACCTTTGATTAAAAACATCAACATACATTGCAAGTCGCTGTAGCAACCATCCATACTAGTAACAGAGACAGATTCAGAATACAAACTTATTGTTAATCCCCTCGATGAGAACAGTGCCTAGTAGTTAAAATATTGGCAAGAAGTATGATTATCGATTTTCAACCATCTGAAAATTCGCAATCGCTATTCTTCGAGTGTCCGAAGTTTAAGTTTGGCCAACTCAGCTATCTACCTTCTCACCCACCTAGTAAAGAGACTCATCTCTCTATAAAAAGCCCTAAAGCTCCTCCTTTTCAACGCTTTTTACACCAGATCTCTTGGACTGACTCCTTGGAGATGCGTGCTTGCTGAGGGAGGTCATTTTTACCATCTACTCTTTTCTGGGTCATTCTCTCTCTTACTTTCTCTCTCTATATCTGCAAATGCATTTGCAGTCATAATCTGTATATATATATATATGTATATATCTGTGCATCGACACATACAAAAGCAGACACGCATATATATGGCAAGTGGGTGATTTGATTCTTTTTTTGATTTGATTTTGATTTACGGTTTTTGTTTTGGTTTTGCGATAACAGAGAGAGAGTTAGAGAAGAAGAGATTTCATCATCAATGGAGAATGGTAGTAACGGCGTGGTGACGTTGTTGTTCACGGAAGAGGAGTTGCGTGAGATAAGTGGGGTCAAGAGATGCGATGATTACGTGGAGGTGATGTGTGGGTGTACAAGCCACCGATATGGTGATGCTGTTGCTAGACTTAGGATTTTCTCATCTGGTGAACTTGAAATCACCTGTGAATGTACTCCTGGATGCACTGAAGGTTCTTATTTTTTTAAAAACTTTAGATCAAAAGGGGGTTTGCGTCAAATGCATGTTGTTCGTGGGTTTTATTCTATCGTCCACTCTGTGTTCTTAGCCGGTTTGATTTATGTATAACATTTTATGTGTATGTAAATTTGTCTCAGAGAGCATAGTTTCTGCCTCTGTGGTAGTGTGTGTTGAAGGGTTTTGATGTTTATTTGACATTTTTGTGTGTCTAATAAGCATGTCAACCTTACATTCTATCCACTTGTGAGATTATACGGGATATGTTGTTGATAAGCATGTCCGCAAAGGTAGAAATACATTGTATGTTCGTTATGTGATAATGGTTGTTTAAGGGTCTGACCTTTGATGCAGAGTTAGAGTTCTGTTTGATTTTTCTTCAAAGCATTGTTCTTTCTGGTTGATGATAGTTTTCATTTTTGATGGTATCAACTTATGCTAAACAACTCATTGGTTCTACCATTTCTACAACTTGGCCATGACAACTTTCTGAAAACTATCAACTCTTAATTTATTAATGCTTATCGTGGGGCTTGTGCAGTGTTTTGGTTGAATATTTAGCTGTGATATCAAAAGAAATCTTATACTATCACTCACCAGATTCTCTCGACAGCATTTGTTGTCAGAGCATATTTCTCTTTTTAATCATTCACTATATGTATCTTCTTGGTTTCCTCCTTTCTTTATTTTTTACAATCATAAGCCACAAAGAATCGATTATGTACTTGATAAAATAACACCCCACAGAAGAATTATCTGATAAAGTAAATTAAGTCCTACCACTTGTACTTGTGCTACTTAACAAGAGTCTCTTTTTTCTCTGTCTGGAATGTAGATAGTCAGCTTCTTAGTTGTTAATACTTCTTGTATATGCTGTAAAAATGAGTGGAGAGTTAATTGAACGTGTTAAGTAGAACTTTATGCTATATTGTTCTCTCTTTTACATTATTTCATAGTCTTGTTGTGCATTGTGCTCCTATATATTAAGAGTTTTGTGTTTTGTGAACAGACAAGCTTACTCCGGCTGCATTTGAGAAGCATTCTGGGAGAGAAACTGCTAGGAAATGGAAAAATAATGTATGGATCATTGTCAATGGTGATAAAGTTCCTGTGGTAAAGACCCCATTGCTAAAATATTATAACAAGTCTTTAAAGCATGCTATTTCTCAAAATGGAAAAGCTTGTCATCGTGATGAGTTCCTAAGATGCACCGAGTGCAACAAAGACCGCAGGTTCCGTCTCCGTTCAAAGGAAGAGTGCAGAACTTACCATGATGCTTTGGCGAATGTGCATTGGAACTGCTCTTGTATTCCTTATGACAAGTATGTTCCTCTTATTCAAGTTTGTTATTTTGTTCTTCATTTTCTGGATTCACCACCCTCTTATACATACATGCTGCGGTTGATTTTTTCCTAAAAGAATATTTTATTTAATTGATCAAAGTAACAAAATTTGTATCTTGTTCACAGAATGGGTATTGTCAATGGTTGCAGTAGTCATGGAATGGGAAAATAGTTGCATCTTGTTAGTTTGTCTTGGAAGTCTTTAGTTAATTCATGAGTGCTCTTACCTTTGTAAAATCTCTATATGCTTTGTTTTCCCACTTCAATCATTAGATGTCTTTCAGTCCAGCATGAACGACCAGGCAATTTGTGTTTTATCGGTGGATCTTGTCCATTCTAATTTCTAGTTCTGCTCCACCTACTTCTGCCCCAAATAAAAAAAATAAAACTTTCATATGATAATGGTGAAATCCCGGCAAAAGGAGGAAAGTCATGAAAGATGAAACAGAAGTACAGGCAGGCAATTTTTGCATGCTGTGCAACTTGCATGTTTGGGAGAAGGATTCAAAGAAATATTTGATCTTCATCCTAGTGAACTGTCATTAGCAAAGTACTTTATGATCTGACTGAATTTGAACTATGACTAAGCATTCATGTATGACCGATAGCATACTAATACCGTGTAGGTAAAAGGTGAAAGAACCTTATTTTAGAAAGTACAGTTCAGAATTTGAGAGGAAAGCTCTTTGATCAGTTTATTTACCTTTATATGATGCTCTATTTTATTTTTCTCCATGTATGCTATAGAGATGGAAAGATATTTTAGGATATGTGGTTACATATTAGTTTTGAAGCAGATATTCACGTAATATCTTACACTCACACTCCCCCAAGCACAAACTGAAAAAGGAAAAAAAAAGTGCTTATTCTGGGGTGGGAAGGGAACTCATATGCCTTTTGCTCCCACATCCAAGTTAAATGGCACTTCAGATTTGATGATTTATGAAGAGTTAACAGATAAAGGGTGACTGGAAGTAAAGCTTAATTACAGCTATTACTGCATTGAAATAGCTACCAATTTCATTTCCAGAAGTAGTGTCTCTCAAAGAATTTTGTTTTCCGATCAAATGCTCATGGGATCTCTGCTTATGGTCAGAACTTACTTCTCTAGTTGAGAACACTTTTTTGCTTTGTTATATTTTGGAAGTCGACCACTTGTTCTTGAGATAAATAATTGTTTATTGTGAGCATTGGAATTTAAAATGCCATCCCTTGTAATTGCATCCACTCCCCTGCACATGCCATCTGCTTTCTTGGTTTGTATTAGTGAGTACCCTTTCACTCTGTTGGATCTGAAATATTGTAGTTTCAAGTGATGTAAGACAGCTTGTTGATGCATGTCCCACCGTATTAGTTGGTAGAATGCCAAGTGATATAAAGGAATTTGCTGATGCATGTCCATCTTATTAGGGGGTAAAAAGCTTTCTTTAACGATCTATCCTTTTGCAGTTGTTGACCTCACTTCTCAAAATTTGGGAATTTGTTTGTTAGAGTGTCAGCTTACTTTGTTCTTTCTCTTCTCTTGGAGGTGTCAAATATGAAGTGATGCTGACCTCCAAGATATCTTAGTCTTGTTGTTAATTTATGGACTTACTCGATTGCTGGCTTGTATGTAACAGATTTTCATGTGATGATGATGAAGAACGAGCAAGCCGTAGGGTGTACAGGGGATGTTCTCGTTCTCCGACATGTAAAGGTTGCACCACCTGTGTTTGTTTTGGATGCCAAATATGCCGATTTTCGGACTGCAGTTGCCAGACGTGCAGTGACTTCACTGAGAATGCAAAAGGCTGAATTATTCTATAATTTGTTTCCAAATTTGTATGGGGTATGTTTTCCCCATATCATTAATTCATCTGAATCCATGCTACTCATGTTTTTGCTGACTGACATATATTAAGACCCATTAATCCCAAAATTGCCGTTTTACATTCACAATCAAAGGTTTCTTCTGTCTATAATATATTGATGCATCATGCTCAAGTGCTTGACTACTGTTTCCCTTTTCATTTATTATTTTGATGCGGAATATAAATTTATGAGTAAAACTTCATGAAACGTCATGTCTGAACCCATTATATTTAATATAAAGTTCAAATTTTTGGTCCACCAATAAATGTACATGTGATCTTTACAGCATATTTTGACAAAGAATAAACCAGCTAAAAGTTATTAAAGTATTTCATATTTCCAAAAAGATGCCTCCACTATTCTGGTTTTCCTTTTTCGAAAGGGCACCCAAATAATTTTGTCATGCAAAATCAAATGTAGGATATATATATATATAACATCAATATGTACACTTTTTCGTGATGGGAAGAAAGAAAAATCATTTGTTGTAAACCTCTTTTATTAATGGAGGATGAATTTGCAAGACTGAATCAATCATTTTCATAGGTCTAACCCATCGGTAGCCCCCTAAAGTTGGTACCAATTTTTACTTAGACACTTTAGCTAAACTTTGTTCATTTTAGACACCTCATGTCATACTGCATTGTGTCATTTTAACACTTTTTTAACAATCAGTCAAATATATAAGATGTGTGTAACACACTCGTTGTGTCAAAGTGACAAATTAAATAAAAACATGTGGCATATTTATTAAAAATAATTTTTAAATAATAATATTTTAGTAGAATGAAGAAGTACCCAATGACTAAATGACATGTGGAATTTTTTACACACAAAATTAAAAAAAAAATAACCCAACCACACCAAGGTCATCTTCTCCGCCCCACCCACCCACCCACCTAGATCATCTTCTCCACCTCTGCCCACCCTAACCCCAATCCCTTCCCCACCCACATCATCTTTTTCAAGATTTTTCGCTGTCCTTCTTTGCAACAACATGAATCGTTGGCCCTCCTAATGGGTTGAAATTTGTTTTATTGTGAAATATCTTTGTGTTGAAATTCGTTTTTTTTGTCAGTAGCATCATCAAAACTATTTCTCCATGGAAGGGGTTCAAGTTTTGAGAGATGGTGGCTGAAAAATAAGGAAGAAAATGAAAAAAATAAAATAAAAATGATTAAATGAGCCTTTCACACACTGGTATTGAGTGTATTACACTCACTATGCCATGTCAGTAAAAAGTGTCAAAATGACACAACGAAACATGACATGAGATGTCTAAAATGAACAAAGCTTAGTTTAGGTGTTTAAGTGAAAATTTGTGCCAACGGACACCGATGGATTAGACCTTTCCCATAAAAGCACAAAGTCTTAATCTAGTCACTAAAAAAGCAAAAGGTTAAGGAGTCATTTAGTAAAAGGTATAATAATTCTAAGAAAAAATAAAGGACCATTTTATTCTGCGTTTAATTGGATATTATATAGTGTTGGAACTGTTTATCCATCATTTTGTCTTAGGGATGAGATAAGTTATTTCACCATGTATATGCGATAACTTATCCCAAAATAACTTAATTTGGATAATTGATCAAAAAGTTTGGCAAAAGAAGAACGTAGTACTTTAGTGAATAAGAAGCAAATATACATGTCGAAAGCCATGAGAGAGGTAAAGGACGTAAATAAATTGATCAATAAATTCTTAAATATATTTTTACTACTTCACCATATGTTTTCTTTATTTAGTTTGTCTTAAAGGATCAACTTATTTAATTTGGTGCAACCACCATATATGAATAGGAATATTATCCAACAAGTATTTAAGGGTGTGGCCTAGTGGCTGATTACGTGGGGTGAGCATCATGAAGTTTCAGGTTCAATTTCTAGCAAAGAAAAATATTAGGTAATTTCTTTTTAGTATTGGTGGACATAATTACGTGATACTTGTTGAGTACAAAAGATTAGTATGTAGTATGTACTATAAGTTTTAAACATTTTACATAAAAATAACCTCAATATACAGTCGCCTAGTCAGTTTTTGATTATTCTAGGAGCACTCCCTTCGTCTTAAATTAATAGTTATGTTTTGCTTCTCAAGAGTTAATGTGACTAATTTTCTAAGCTAAATCACCTCAATATTTCATAAATAAAATATAGATATTTAAAAACTATACGAAAAGTACGATTAGTTCCATATGAACCTCCCTTCACAATTGATTAAACATTAAAGTTCATATTAGTCAAAATATTATACGAAATTAGAAATAAACCATAATATCATCGAGAGAATAGTCGGTTTATTAAGTCTTATCACTTTAAACTCCTCCTTCATTAAACTTCGGACTTTTCATGAAATGATTTATAACGCCACAAATATCAATGACCTGTCATCTAAATAAAGAGGTCAACAATATTTGGACACGAAGAAAACCTAGAGAAGGTAAAAAAAAAAAAATGAAGAAAGAATCCAGGAAAACAAGTGGTTTGTTTCACAAGGAATCAGTACAAAGTCTGTTTATCACCAAAGGTTGTGGTGGGCGAGTGGGAAAATACCCCTCCGCCCTAATTAGAGGACTCCAATTCAAGTCTTGGAAATGAAGTCGCCTTTGGTAGAAAGTGTAACAGATTACTCACGGCTCAAGGAGTCAATATACATCATCAGCTATTTATATATGGTACAACTACACAAAGAGACATGATATTAGTACTGGACTAGGGAGTCCTAATAGAAAGTACTTTACTCTCCAAAGTGGGACCTCCTAGTACAAATCTGAATTAATCGAGCTCCAAAAAGAAAGTTACCAAATGCTTGGTGGAAAACCGAAAATGGAAGAATCCAAAGTCTGGTTCTTTGCATATGAGTACCTGATCCCATCACACTCTAAGATCATTCAAGGCAAAAACTGAGAGCAGATGTGTAAGGCCAATGCTTTTGTGTATCGTTGTGCATTTTCGAGCAAGGAGAGGACTGGTGGAAAACAAACATTTCGAATTTGGGACAAAATTCATTACATAAGGTGGATAGTCCTACACACACTTGACCCCCTAAAGGAGAAGGGAAAAGTAAAACAATAAAACTACTATACTACCTTTCTAATGGAAGTTACAAAGTAAAGGCTTCCACAACTTCAGTTACGTTGTGACCTACCTCTCCTACCACCAAAACGGCCACCACCCCTGTGATTTCCTCTCCGACCACCACCAGAATGAGCGCCTCGATTGAAGTTTGGAGAGACATTAATATTGTTCTGTCCTGATTTTGGACCATTCTCTGGTACCTGACCTCCCAAATTCATGGGTGAAGGAGTAAATTGGCCTGGTAAGCCCATTGGCGAAGGTGATTGTCCTTGATTGAAGTTTGGAGAGCCATTAAGATACCCAGGAACCACAGCATTTGGTTGTGAATTATTGTTCTGTCCTGATTGTGGTCCATTCGCTGGTACCTGACCTCCCAAATTCATGGTTGCAGGAGTAAATTGGCCTGGTAAGCCCATCGCCATAGGTGATTGATTAAAAACATTTTGTCCAAAGGCAGGCCAAGGTCCAAATGATGGCCCTGCACCAAAATTTGGTAGTCCACCTGGGAACATAAAGCTAGGCGGAAGAGTTGGATTTATTTGCTGCTCAAAAGGTAATGCATTTGGCAAAGGCATTTGAAACATTTGCTGTGGATGACCTTGTTGGGGCCACGACATACCCATATTCGGCAGTGTGTTAGGAAAGCCCATATTCTGGGGCTGTTGATATGGGAATCCATTAGGCCAAACTCCAGTTGACGGTGATGCTAAGCCAGGGGAATTTTGCATATGAGGGAATGGAGGAACTGATGGAGGCCTGATACTCTGTCCATGTCCTTGACGAGCGGCGCTTTGATGAATGCCTTGATCCACAGGAGCAGCAGCAGCTGGGATAAAGCGTGGACTTTGGTCAACTGATGGCTTACCATTTTCACGTTGCACATCTGTAGCCACACCTTGATCATGTTTCCAGTTCTGTGATCGATTTTTAAGATTCCTTTTGTCCTTCTTCTTGTTTCCTGGTTTCTGGTCATTTGTGATGCCCCTCTTTTTCAGTTTTAGTATTCTCCTGTGTTCAGCTTCCTTCTCATCATCTGAAAATTCATCCTCAGACGCCTCTTCATCATTTTCACCAGATGCATCATACCCTTTCTTGTAAAGACTGTTGTCATTTAAGATATGACTTGAAAATTCAGGGACGAAAGAGATCAAGGTGCCTGGGTGGATTCCAGGGGGAACTTCGTTGTCAGAATTGTATCTTACAATGTAGTACGGGTTCTTGACAGGCCCAAAAATCTCATCTACTATACCGAGTGGAGATCTGTTTTCTGTTATCCAGAGAATAGAACCATCACAAAGAGGAGTATGCTTCTCCACTCCTTCTACTACAACTTGGGCCCCAATAGTCTGTCACGCCATACATAGATGAAATAAGCCATTTAGATAACAAAGTTGAATTAAATATAATCAAGCACCATTTACATAATCTTTAACTTTTTTGTTTTCAGCGTTTTAGTCTTACCGATGTCACAACTCCTACAGGCTGCATCTGGTGATGTGGTTGCAAGGTTGCAGTCACTTCCGGAACTGGGGGTAGAACCTGCATTCAACAAGGATGATTGAATTTTTGCACGTTGACATAAAACATGAAAAGCAAATTCAAAACATCACTTTCACGTGCTAATCATCCATGCAGGGTGAACAAAACAAATACATGTTTCCAAAATCTTACTGTACTTCATTTCACTTAACACAAGTCAACCCTTTTAAGTTCTTCAGGTCAGCACCATAAAATTTCTGAAAAATGTACATCTGCTGGCTCCTACTCGTAAGACAAATAACTATGAGACCGAGAAAGTCACTATTTTCATGTCAAGAATATATTTAGTGCAGAAGTGCTTAGAATACAATACAAGCAAATGATTGTTATGGTGATACCAACTGTTGAAATTAAACTAAAACCATATGAGAAGAAGTGTGAAATCCAGATTACCTAATCCACCAAAAGATGCAATGTTCAGCAATGGACTAAAATGAACAGGAATAGCTGGTTGTCTGGTTCCAACTGATTTTGGAGTGACGCATAATTTCTTGATGGATTTATAGATAGTTCTTTGGTTAAAGTGCTTCTTAGAGATATAGAACACTCTACTCTTAGGTGTTAGTCTTAATATCATCACTATATAAATTTATTAGCAAATTACATATGAAATTAGCACTCTCCCCCCATAGATTAATACCAACTGACAATGATTGATCAAGATGTCCTTCAAAAGATAAGCAGACAGATATAAAATAGAGACAACACAATCTTTTTCTTCTTCAAAATTATGTTCTTCCATTCTCTGTTTAGTATGCATTCGCAAAGTCTACCAAAAGTGACATGATGCCCGTGAAGATAGAAGGTGAGGTAAAAACAGAAAAATCTAACATCACTCTTTATGTTTAGGTATGGCCAATAACTGGGACTTTGGATGCATAATCAGGGAGACAGATGAACTCCACTTCGCAAATACACACAGAATTCACTAAATACACAGAGAATTTCAAGCTGTCAATCGAATGCTAACAGATTTGCAAAGTTTTGTGTTTCAGAGTTGACTATACGTAGGCCAGTCATTCTTTACTCGAAAATTCTGTTCATGATTTACAGGGATCTATTAGAGTATCATCTCTTATAGAAGCCCTAAAAAGGGTGTCTTTTCTTGCTATTTAGCTGAAATTTAGACATTTTTCCATTGCATTCCATAAGGTGCAGAAGAATCAAGCACTTAGACTGAGTATATACTATATACAATTACCTACCAAATTATTTTGCACTTAACCTACTTCCTCAAGATAACAGTAACATCAGTAGTATTAGCATTCAGTGGCAGTATACAATGAGAATATATACTCACTCCATATACGCATCTAAAATGAATTAGTATATTTACCGTGGCACTATAATAATGTTCTCCAATTTAGCGAAGATATATTCATAATTCATAATTCAATTAGTATTATTGATTATTATGTTCATGCAGATACCTATTCATGAAATGTGAAGTAGTGCTCATGTTCTGTAATAAGACAACAATCTCCTAAATGTGTATAGGACACCAGTTCTTTCTTGCACTTTAATTTGACTCCGGGTTCCATTGGAAGATGCCTAATAAACTAGGTACAAATAAATTTTGTTACTTTATACATATGGTTGATTTCGAGCACCCATCCTATTCCTCAACCAGTTTCCATGATTGAAAACAAATGCAGATTCATAACTCGAAGCAGCACTGCCTCAAGTAAATGTCTTCTGTAATGGACCAAAATTTGATTAAGCAATAACTGAGGGATAATTAGCTTAAGTGGTATAATGACCGTGGACGCCTGATATTTCACTTTCATTAAAAGCTCAAACATAGCAATAATTAGTAATTCAAATGCACTACCATTTACATATAAAGTGATAGTAATTATTACCTGAACCTCATTCTTAGACCTGATAGGTCCCTTAACACCAGTGTCCTCGTCGTCGTCATCCCAACCAACCATCTCATCGACATCAGATGCTACAATCTCGCCTTCTTCCATATCCACCTCCTCTTCTACTTCATCATTTGAACTACTCTCGTCTTCATCGCTGTCACTACTAGAGGCCGAGGAAGAGGCTTCACTTTCACTTTCAGACTCCGTATCACTATTACTCACTGTACTTCCATTTCCATTAACACCCGTATCATTCACAATTCTTTCCTCAGCCTTACTACTGATGACAACTTTATTATCATTCTCCTCATTCTTGCTAATCACCGCCGCCGCCGCCACCACACTGCCACTAACATCAGCTTGATCAACCACTCTTTCATCCTCTGTCCCACTTATGCTAACTCTACCCATCTTCTCCTCAACTATACAATCAAAGTCCTCAACTTTCATCCCATTCTCAGAAACCCCAATTTGACTCTGTTCTTGATTCAAACAACTCAAAGGGTCCTCAGTTTGAATATCACATTTCTCAGAAACACACTTTTCTTGATTCAAACAACTCAAAGGGTCCTCAGTTTGAATATCACATTTCTCAGAAACACCAATTTGACTCTCTTCTTGATTCAAACAACTCAAAGGGTCCTCCATTTGAATTTCACTTTTCTCAGAAACTCCATCATTACTCCTGAACTCAACTTCTACAGAATCAAGCTCAAGGGATTCTTGATTTCTATCAGCCATAGGACTATCCGACATCAAATCACTGAGGGAATCAAAATCAAGAAGAGAATCAGCAAAAGACAAAGACAATTCGTCAAAATCAGGGATAGATAGTAGGCTTAAAGGGTCTGAAAAAGGTTGATTTTTTTTATCATCTTCAACCTCTTCAGCGGTTGAATTGTACAGAAAATCCACCATTATCAAGTGATAAAAATTGGGGTTTCAAGAAGTTTATCATAGTAACTTCAAAAATAGGAGAATACCTGACTTTATAAACGTATGAGAGAGTTTTGGTAAGCGATTTTTTTGGGGCGCTTAACTTCAGCAATCAATCTTCTTAAACCCTACTAGGGTTTAACAGAACAATTTACAGGGACAAAAATCCCCAGCAACTTTGGAAATAGAACAAAATGGTCCTTATTTTGTATTTTTGGTCTTCAAATGCACTTTAATTTATATTTATACAAAAATTATTTGATATTTGTTACGGTGGAAGAAGTATCACAATTTGGTTAAAAATCAAACCAACAATTGATTTTAATTTGATTTGCCTTACATTTTTAAAAGTGTAATTATTTGGAATAATTGCATAAATACATAACGTAAGGTGCCATCTCTAAAATATCCTATCATTTAAAAAAAATTATAAAATAAATAAATTATTTCTCTCTCTCCTAATATCGGATATATCCCTCTTATTATGAATCATGTGTATTTTAGTACCCGATACATACACCCACTGTTATTTATCTGAAAGGCTATGTATCTGAAGACTAATGTATCCGACAATAGAATAGAGACCAACGAATCCATAAAAAAAATCTTAATTAATGTGTTGTTTGCAATGTATCCAACAATAAAAGAATGTATTCATGAGTTATGAAAAATAAAAGATTATTGTAATTGGGGAAAACTTCTGAAAATATGGTATAATAAATTAGCACCCAAGTATATGGAATTTCTGTACTTTCCCCTAATTATGTAGAATGCAACTCATAAACTTTACTTACCATCTATTTAACCTGATTTATACGAATTAGGGAAAATGACCATTTGGCCAAATTATTTACCGAGAAAATGGCCAAATGCGACCTTTCTCCTCTTCTTCCTCTTGCTACTTCCTTCTTCTTTGTTGTTTCTTTTTTTTTTAAAAAAAAGTCGACCTATCGCAAACGTAAATAGTTTTGAGTGAATTATATATAAAAATACTCAAAATATTGAGAGAACTTCATATTTAAAATTTAGAACTGTTTAGAGGAGATTTCGAGTTTGTCGAAATTGAATAGTCAATGTATGCTTCATGTGTAGTCACTAAGTGTATACTTCATGTGTAGTTAAGCTATATTCAACTTTTTGGGTATATCATAATGTATAATTAGTGTATAACACATGCATAGGTAAGTTATATTCAATTTTTGAGTGTATCATAATGTATAGTTTATATATATTTTCCAACTTAAAAATCAGGAAAATAATTTTCCTAGTAAAAGTAGAAAAAACAAAGTTTTAAACCGGAATGAAATGGACTTTTTGTGCACTTCCTCGGCCCATTGTAATCTATGGAGCAGGCCCATTCGACAAGGAGATACAAGAACAGCCCAACTAGCCCAATACAATGTGTATACACCAGACATGATTGTAGGGAATTTTGCAATTTACTTTTTAAAATTCATATAATTATATGGTTGTTGAAAAGCATATGAAAATAATTTACATATGCTTTTTGAAAACAAAAAAAAATTGAAAAACATTTATCTTCTGAAAAATATTTAATTGGAGTATAGACTTAGAATGTTTATGTACATTGGTTTAATTATTTTTCAATTTTCATGCTTTCTAAAAGCCTTAGGAACATACAATTTGTGGCATATACAGTATTATAAACTATAAGGTAACAAATTTCTCAAACTAGAACATATATATTTCATCAATGTATATGTTAATCAATATGTACAATATGTTAGAAGGATCCAAAATCATACTAGCTATAACCTTTAGACACTAAACTTGTTTAGAATTAAAGACCATTTGAAATAAAGTACTCCCTTTGTCCCAATTTATGTGACACATTTCGGATTACGAGATTCAAGCAAGTGTATTTTTTACCGTAATTTTTTCCTATATCTTTTAAATATTTTGAATTATCAATTATTGAGACTTATAGTACTTTTTATGTAGTTTACAAATATATAAATTTCATTTTAAAAAATTTGAAAATTTCATGAGCAAATTCTCGGTCAAACTTAAACTGTTTGACTCTCGAAAAGTGAAATGTGTCACATAAATTGAGACAGAGGGAGTAAATGATATTGATGGTAAAGTCGACCACAGTGGTCTGAGAGTTTCGTATGAAATAGGACTTTTGCTCAACGAATTAAAGGTATATCCAGGAATAACAAGATGATTATAGTATTGAGAAGATTGATTTTATTATTATTTAAAAAAAAAGAAGAGTATTTTAGTAGTCCTTAATGGATACGTAACTAATACCAATGGCCTCATTAGATGTATCCCAACAATGCCATGTTCATGAGCATTTTCTAAATGTTAAAATTTGATATTGAAATGTCACCATTTTATAGACACATATTCCTATAGAAAAATATATCAAGATTGTATAAATTAATAATTTGAAAAGGACTTTTGTGATCAACTATAATGCACTAGTTATTATAGACTTATAAATGGAAAATATCTTAATTCGTTGAGCAAATACTCCCCACTTAAATTGTTTTTTTATTTTTTATTTTTAGAAGGATGAGATGTATTTAGACCCCATATGAGATAGTGATCTTAACTCTTAAATAATGAAGTCCATAAAATAGAATATAATCAACACCAAAAGGTAACTTCATGCATATTCTTTATCGAAAAATTATAGAATATACAGAAGTTAAATATATATTTAATTTGCACTCTCTTAATATAATTAAAGAAAAAAAATTGCATTCATCGCCAAATTTCTGATTCCACAACTGATCAACACTAGAACTTAGCTAGAGTCGTTGCGTGTTAGAATTGTCAAGTGTGATTTTTGTATAATCATATAGCCAATAGGTCTAAAAAGTCAAGTAATTAGAAGAGAGTTTGGCAACAATATAGGCTCAATCATATTGTCAACATATTCAGTTAGTTGGGGGTTGGGTTTTATCACTAGTGAATTTGGAAATATAGTTTTTTTTTGAAAAAAAAAAAGTATTTGGATGGAAAAGTACCTTGAAGTTGAGGCGATTTAATTTGAATCATATGATTTAATATCAACTTGGATTGAACAATAACTATCTAAATATTGATGTTCTATAGCTTCCGGCCTTTCAATTTAAATATCTTAGTTTGATCAGAAGAAATGATCTCTTATGATTACTTATAAGTTAAACAGAAAAACATAACATTTTCATATAGTAAAAAAGACATAGAACTAAAAACAAGTTTGATTATAATAAAGATAATTGAGGTTGAAGAAAGAATTTTGTAATTTAATACGAGGTAACGAGTAAAGCTAGATAAAGGTGAGCATACAATGACATGTTAGAAAGAAGCCAATTCATCACATAAAAAAACATTTTCAAACCAATACCATAATTTTTACTATAACTATTTACTCGCATGTTATCGCCATAACGTATAAAACTTTATTATTAATATATTATTGTTGTTGGGGATTGATTTGAGAGCGAATTTGTTGACTAAAAGCTTATTATTTTTAATCTCTTCTGGTCCACTAATTATGATATGAAACCTTTAAAGAGCCACCGTTATTTTATTTCATGTATTTATTACTCTAATATTCTTTGTTGACATTATACAATATCCATCATATTATATAGTCGACACATCAAATATATATATATTTTATTTATATAGTGACAAAGTCAAAACACTCTACACGTAATTGGTTGCATGTAATAATTAATATGGCAACCCATCACTCCATGATCACTCACAGGACTACACGTCTGCCCAAAAATAAAAATTAACTATAAAAAGAAAAAAATGCTTTTCAATTTTTTTAAAAATCAAATAATTTTTTTTTCTTTTTGATATATTTCAGGAATAAGACAATTTCAAATTAAATGAAGGAACTAGTCTGAAAAGAAAAAAGTTCTCCGTTCACATTGTTTTCAAAGTTAGAGGAGAAAATATAGGCAAAAGATATTACGAGCCCTCTGTCTTCCATATCTATCTAGAAGATGAATATCTGTAAACTTTTATATACTCTTTTAAAAAGAATTATTATAAGGATAAAATGCAACAATTAATTAATTATAATTTGACTTTATAAATTAATAAATAATTTAAAATAATTTGGACAATTAATATGTGACTAAGAAAGGAATTAATTAGGATTGCCCACTTATCTTTTTGAACGATAAGGTGTAATTTGTCCCCCACGTGAAAGTGATCTGAAATAATGGACTTCTTGATATAGAAAGTTTTCAACATTAATAATAATATTATTGTGTTAGTTTAGCAAGAGACTATATATCATTATTTATTATATTAAGTGAATTATTGGGCGGCACACCCGTTAAAAAAAATTAAGGACATAAATTATAGATTATTTTTACTATTAATTTTTTGATTATTTTTAAATTAATCTCTTAGAAAATGTAAAGTATAATTTAGAATCTTATTCCATGAAAGGGTAAATATGAAAAAGACTCAATAATTTTCTTGAAATTCAAGAGACATTTATTAAATAATAGTATTTCCATTGTCCATCTTTACTTGTCCTGCTAAAAATGATTGTTCAATAATACTTATCTAGTTTGAAAAATTAAAATATAATTTACCTTTATATATATATATCTATTTTGTCCTTGCTATTAAATATTATGCAATATTAATATATTTTTCAAAAACATTAATATATTTGAAGAATACCTAGTAATATTATTTTTATTTATTTCTTAAGATATATGTCAAATCAATACTGAACGATTATTGTTAGCCATGCGAAAGAGTAGCATTTTAGCGGTGACGGCAATTTGAACCAATCCTAGATTTAATTTAATTTAGTCATAGTCCATAGATTGAGGGAATACTTACAAATGCTCCTACTTTTTTTTAATTATATATATTTATTTTTATGAGGTCCAATTATGATGAAGTCATTAAATAGAAACCGTGTATCTTATTTTTCATAGTATAACTTTGTTCTGTGTTTTGACTTTTATTATATAATTTATATATATAACAAAGTCAAAATACTGTAACATGTAATATTGCAGAAATATGGCAACCCGTCACTCCATTTTAACAAAGTCAAAATACTGTCTTATCTAGATATGATGACATGCTAAAAAAAATTCGTTTTTCATTTAAGTAGTAAAGCCAACGTAGTTCAAAAACAATTTAAAGATATAGGTCTTTAATTGCTAAAATTTCTGATTCCGTCAAACGTTA